CCAGCCATCACCATCTCAACAGCACAGCCACATACACCATCACCATCCCAACAGGACAGCCAGCCATCACCAACTCAACAGCACAGACACATAAACCATCACCATCCCAACAGCACAGCCACATACACCATCACCATATCAACAGCACAGCCACATACACCATCACCATCCCAACAGGACAGCCAGCCATCACCAACTCAACAGCACAGACACATAAACCATCACCATCCCAACAGCACAACCACATACACCATCACCATCTCAACAGCAGAGCCACATACACCATCACCATCCCAACAGGACAGCCAGCCATCACCAGCTCAACAGACCAGCCACATACACCATCACCATCCCAACAGAACAGCCACATACACCATCACCATCCCAACAGGACAGCCAGCCATCACCATCTCAACAGCACAGACACATACACCATCACCATCCCAACAGGACAGCCAGCCATCACCAACTCAACAGCACAGACACATAAACCATCACCATCCCAACAGACCAGCCACATATACCATCACCATCCCAACAGCACAGCCACATACACCATCACCATCCCAACAGGACAACCATCACCAGCTCAACAGGCAAAGTCATTGATCTGCTACACTGTCTACGTTGCTCCGATGCTAATAATAAAAAGGGTCCCGGGATTACTAATAACAGGGTCAACGAGAAACATGTAGGGCTGGACACTCTTTGTCTGATCTGAGAAGGAAATGTATGAACGTAGATTACACGGATACACATCAAATTAAAAACAACAACACAAGAACCGAGCGTTAAATACAGAAAAGGTACTGAGCTTCCACGAGATAGTGAGTGAGTGAGTTTAGTTTTAAGCCACACTCAGCAATATTCCAGCTATATGACGGCGGTCTGTAAATAATCGAGTCTGGACCAGACAATCCAGTGATCAGCAGCATGAGCACCGATCTGTGCAATCGGGAACCGATGACATGTGTCAATCAAGCCAGCGTGCCTGACCCCCCGATCCCGTTAGTCGCCTCGTACGACAAACATGGGTTAATGAAGATTCATTCTAACCCGAACCTTCACTGGTTCCATGGATAGACAACGCACAGTGGAAATGATTTTCTCTTTTTACTGTTATCATATCTACCACACTCCACCAGTAGACGGCGGTATGAAGACTGGCTTCAAGTCATATACGTTCTGAACGCTGTAACCTTTACGTTTATCAAATATATTTCGAAGGACACATTAACTTCAACATTTCGATAAATGTCAAATTAAAGTTCAAGTGCAGGAGTCCACGACTGATTATCAATATCAGCGCATCTTTGTCTAAATTATAACACAACTCCCCACAGTTTGCCAGTGTCCATGACTATAAAGTAAGTTCTTGACATTTATGGCCCAACTTTTCATTCCCTTATCAGCGAGATTACTCTGATATCCTAAACAATACTCAAGGTCGGATCCGATATTGAATATTTTTACAAAACCGATCACCTTTGTATGAATATCGTCCAATTCCGTCCTGGCGTGTTTACAAAATTTATCACAAACATGTTTCATATTAGGTGAAGGGTCGAATTCCCGCATTTCGAATCCATACATATGTGGCCAGCTCTTCAAAACAGCAGCTCCGCTGGTAGGGGTGGGGACATTTTATTTCGTAGGGTAGTTGGTGATTCACAATCCACAAAAGTTCACAAAACATCACCCTGTGGCTGAGCGGGTTAGGCGACTAACGTTGTATTCTGGCGATCGGGCGACTGACTCTGAGGGTGTGGGTTCGAATCCCGGGTGGGACTCAATCCATCAAAGGTACTAAAATGTGTACTTTACTGAGAAAGTGTAATCCCAATTATAGCAAATGTTACATTTGACCACTTTCTACACGGCATGGCGTATTCATAGATTTGATGGAAGGAACTTGTCATTATCAGATTATGAAGAAGATTTCAAAATGACAGTGTATTCATGGAAAAAGTTTTTGATATCAAAGTTGGAAGATGGAACAAAGTTTCAGGTCAGCAAATCCCTCACCGATGATTTACCCCATTAACCCCCACTCACATGCAAATTTGTAACGTATCCGGAAAATGAAATACAACTTCTTCTGACATGAATTACTAGAGCTGCTGCAAGATAGTATAATACAAGGAGGCAGCAGTTGGTTTGAACTTATTCCAGCTTTGGCCATGTGTGAAAAACCAAAATGGCGGTGGGTTTGAGAATTTCAGCACGTCAGTGTTATTTTTAAAAATAATATATCTTAAATGTCAAAGTTTTGCATATGCATATTCTCTTCTGTGCAGTGTACTTGAACAATACCTTATCTGCCCAAAAATGAATGAGTTTAGGATGATTCGTAAGCGCAACATAATCGGATGCATAGCACCAGGGTCATATCAAGTCAAATTTAAAAGAATCTTTTATGTGATTACTGGGCCTAAAATCCAAAAAGAAATGTTATAATTCCGTCCAAACTGATACTTATTAGACAACATAATGTTTCTGAAGTAAAAACAACAACGTGAACACAGTAAATATGTGAGTTAGTTAAAATTTAACGTCACATCGGAAATATTTCAGCTATATGGTGACGAGATGAGTTTTGCATGCATAATAGATGCAAATTCTTAAAAATATTAAATAACAATATTTTATTTGGTGAAATCCCAAAGCAATTAATCTCAATGGAATATCTGCCTGTGCACAATGTGAGGCACACATATAGACAACAATCAGAATATTGTAGCCCAAGAAAAGAAATATCACAACAACAAAAATATCACAAAATTCACCTTGGTTTCTTTCGTTTAAGATATAATAAATACACTATACGGTTGTAATTTATTCAAATTATTACAATCATATAAAGTTAAGCATTCTTATATTTTCAAATATTGTTGGCGTATTTCTCAAATACAAATCAAGAGTATGTGATACTCATCTTCTTTTTCGTTAGTACAAACTGGACATAATCTATCAGCAAATAGGATTTTAGGCACGCTCCATGTTCCGTTTTCAACCATAACTGCCACGGAAACGTGTTATGATTTGAACTATTCAATACTGGATTGTGTAAACTATATATGTATCTGGTTTACTTCTCAAAATCGTAGACCAATATTTGATAATACTGATTGGATGACTAACTTTCAAAGGAAATATACCCAATTCTCAAAATATATGAAAGTTACTGAAGCGTAGTAGGGCCACGGTGAACATTTTTTTGGGGGGTCACTATCTCCTACGTAGGACTTAGTATCTCCTACGTAGGACATACTATCTCCTACGTAAGACTTAGTATCTCCTACGTGGGACTTAGTATCATCTACGTAGGACATATTATCTCATACGTAGGACATACTATCTCCTACGGAGTACTTAATATCTCCTACGTAGGACTAAGTATCTCCTACGTAGGACTTAATATCTCCTACGTAGGGCATACTATCTCCTACGTAGTACTTAATATATCCTTTTTAAGGATGGTTATTAAGTTGAGAAATGTTTGGCTATGCAGGACGTTAGATAGTTGAAATATGAGTCAGTGAATATTCATGACACTAACACAGTGTTACTACACAGTGTTATTGTGTGTGCATTACGTTAGGGTGACATGGACCCTGTTCTAATTGCAGTTATGGAGGTTTGGGTATAGTAATGTTTAATCTATCATACATACATCTATTCACACACAAACACACAAACACACACACACACACACACACACACACAGATGTGGGTGGGATGTGATGGTTGGGGTGAGGTTGTGATATAAAACTCAGGTTATAACACGACCTCTGCAAGTTGTTGCTTGTCTTGATGGGGCTAGGTTGGATCGCACGTTTGCGGCTTTTTTCGTAATTGTATACTGGTTGACTTGACTGGGGTGGACAAAATTCAAAAAGGCAAATAATTGTCATTATATTTATTTGTATAAATATAAGGGGATACGTACACATAGATTGCCGCCGATAGTCTAAGACACGTCTGTACGCGCAGATTATGATTCATGTGCAACGACCTCTGAAATAACGCATAATAGTAAAGTGTAACAAAGTGCAACATATAACAGCGAACTAACTGCAAAGCGTACTAGTAAACTGAACGCAAGGCAGTAAAGTATAACAGTCGGTCCAACACAGTAATGTGCAACAATTAGTTGAACACATGGCTCTAATAGTGAAGGAAACAGTAGATTCTAATAGTAAATTGAAACACATGATAGTAGACTCTAACAGTAAATGAAACACATAACTGTAGACTCTAACAGTAAATGAAACATGTAACTGTAGACTCTAATAGTGAATGAAACGAATGACTGTAGGCTCGCACAGTGACTGAGACAGCGAAAGAGAAGACTGTGTGCGGGTCTGGGGATTTACGTCGACCGTTTCAGATTAATCTATATAAACGTATATCGATCATTTCCTACAGGAAATATTAAGTACTACGTAGGAGATACTATGTCCTACGTAGGAGATAGTAAGTCCTACGTATGAGACACTAAGTCCTACGTAGGAGATACTAAGTCCTACGTAGGAGATGCGAAGTCCTACGTAGGAGATACCCACTTAGAAGATACTTACTCCTACGTAGGAGATACTAAGTCATACATAGTCCTACGTAGGGCATAGTAAGTCCTACATAGGAGATAGTATGTGCTACGTAGGAGATAGTAAGTCCTACGTAGGAGATAGTAAGTCCTACGAAGGAGATACTAAGTCCTACGGAGGATATACTAAGCCTTACGTAGGAGATACTAAGTCCTACGTAGGACATATTAAGTACTACGTAGGAGATAGTAAGACCAAAAAAAAAACTTTCACCGTGGCCCTACTACGCTTCCGTAGGATGCCATGTCTGCCAGATTGTATAACGTCAAAATATAGTTCGTTGATAAAGAAAGAGAAACATATGGGGCTTAGAACAAAGCCCTGAATAGAGCATATTTAAGACCTTTCTGGTTATCTATATCACATCCTCTGTTAACCAACAAGTTATAAATCTCAAAGTGGCCTTTTCTGTACGGCAAGATACAGAGGGTGTTCCCGAAATGACCGATGTTGCTGATTAACTTCCACTCCCATGTTAATCGCACGCTCCACAGCTGATGTAAGGCCGCGTTCACAAAGATAACACAACACAGTTTTACCCCTGTTGTCTCTTGCATTTAGGTCAGGATAAAGAGACAAAATCTGATTGACGAAGTCACTGTCCCTGGTCTCTGCCAACATAAGCGGCGTCTTTTTCTCCAGACTGTATGTAGCATTTACCTCAAGTTTCATATGTCCACTGATGTATTTCAGTATATCGCATGCAGCATTCATACACACACCCAGTAAAATGTCTCTACCTTCACTCTGGGTGAATGAGATATTTTCTGTCTCCATGATATATTTGATGAGATGATGTGACTTGTTGCTGGAAAGTAATTCACAAAATGACTTGTTGGATGAGTTATCAGTTAGTTTCACAATATCAGATACACGCATGTGAAACTGGGTCTTCAGGTAGTCCATTAACAAGAGGACAAAATCTGCATTACAAAATGCCTGGTGTGATAAAACATGTAACAGATTCCTCTGTTTAATTTCAGTTGCAAATCTTCTGGATAAATGTATAGCATAAGTCCATGGGATGTTTGCAATCTTTTTCTTTCTTTCTGTGGAGGGTGCAAGACGAAGTCGCTGATTAATGAAGGACAAACTACAAATTTCGATGACAAACTTTGGCTGTTTTGTACTGAGAATAAAGGAAACGCTGTCATATATAGACGGATGATCAAACATGTAGGTGTCCTCTTCCGTCTTGAGGTAAGATCCAACCAAATCATCAGCAGCTTCTCTACCTTCATAACCGAGGCGATCATCCGCCTCCATTTCTTGTCCACTAATCTTCCCATCTCTGTTCATCATAGCCATGAACAGTGAACGCTTGATCTTGTCTTTAAGAAATTTATCCAAAGTCTCTTTGAGGAAAGTCAGTGGCGCTTGAAAAAACATTTGCATTTGATTGAGAGTCCAATCCTTTTCATATGCTGCGACAAACATTTTACAGACATGGGGGAAGCCGTGTGGACAGTCTGCTTCACATATCCGAGACACAGTTGACTCTTCGATGTCTATGTTTTTGGTTTCAGCGTGAACACGCCATATCTTCCTCCGCTCATAAGACGCTCTCCGTGAGGAAACTTCCACCACGTATATGGGACTGGAAATGTAATCTGCCAGCCTTCCCAAATCTGCCAGTGAGGATTTCAGCACATAGTCACGGCCTATGAGAATAATGACTAATTTGTCTTTGTTTGGACTTGTTCGTTTCACCTGTGTTTGATCAACTTTTGTACTCTCTGATACCTTTTCAGTTTTGGTAGAAATGTCTAAAACATCATCTTCATCATATGTGTCAGGGTGTTTAACATCCAAAATAGGTCTGAGACTTGGTCTCCACTTGGCCCATTCTGCAGTGTCGAATTCTAGATCACCAAATATGTCATCTAACATAATGACAGGATTAGGACAGGCCTTTAGGACCTCATTGAACTCTTCTGGTGACACCACTTGGTATACCTGTCTCCCCTGACTGTGTAGATCTCTGAGAGCCATGTAGGCTATTGTGGACTTCCCCTCTCCTGGTCTTCCTTTAATTGTCACCCATGTCGCTCCTCTGTCCAGCTTCTCTTTTACTTTACTGAGGACGTGTGTCTCCACCATGTCTTTCGTCCATGACTCTATCCTGGATGCCGTCCTTTCTGTGGACACCAGGCACATTTAACACATTTATCAATAACATATGTGTAAAAGTTAACAAACTTAAGATTAAAACATCTTACTCGAAAAAAGGGCTTCACACATTGTTCCCATATGGGGAATCGAACCCGTGTCTTCAGCAGGACGAGCAATGCTTTAACCACCACATGTTAGGTTACGCAAAATTGTGTTAAGGCTCTTAAAAAGACAACACCCAAATTGCAGGCATTTGCTGAAATGGCAGGAGACAAAATTGTATAAAGAATAAACAAAGCAATAACAAGACGGAGCCAATAATCAGTCGGATCACCCATCAAAGGAGAATATCTCAACAAAACTGAAGCAAACAAAGTCACGCCTCATGTGACGGATGAAGAGAGATATAAAAAGAGCATCGTGACGTTGCTTGTTGATTCAACGTCCATAGATACACCCCCTGGATTCGTGTGGCGATGTTTTCAATCAACACAATCGAGATATAGACTGCCCCCATAGTAGCCGCCAACCAGTATCGACTGCAGCACATGTCAAGATGAAGTTGAACACTGCACATCCAGCACGGGGCCAAGCCAGCAACCCTGATACCGGCAATACAAGAGCATCTGTGATAACAGTTTGACGACATCCACGCGTCTACGGCCTCCATGCGAGGTGAGCAGCCTGATGACCAGTTAAACATGTTGACGCCAGACCTTATCATGTTGCTCGAGGTGTCCAGCAGAATCCTAATCAGAGCAATGTTAAGGTGTTATCCTGGCCAGCAAGATCCACGAATGTGTTCCCCACTGAACACGCCTCGGATGAAATGGAGCGACGTTCACGTGGTCATATGAATCCAACAGGGAAAGCTTTTCTCGGAATGACTCTCATGGAGGTATAGTGGCCTCAATTATGCGATGGCGCGAGGCATGCATCAATGCACAAGGTGGACACACTCGCTACAGGCATTGTAAACATGCTTCTGTACCCCTTCTTGTGCTTGGGAAAATTTGCATATGCAAGGTGCGCTGTTCTGATTGATTTTTGATCATTACCAGTCCTTTAGACATTTGTCTTATTCAGAACGTTTGACCTTTGAGTCTATTTATCGTGTCACTCAGCAGTGAAACGGTGAGGATGCACTGAACCACATAAGTTGTCTTATACAATTCCACAAACAGCCTATCGTATAACAAGGCTGATGTTTTCTTAATAATGTTGAGGAGTAAAACCTTTTCTGCCCGTTATTCATTTGTGTTTAGGTAGTGCTAATTTCTTTCTTAGTAACTGAATACATTTTAAAAACCTATTTTTTACACTGGCAAGTGTTAATCGAGTTTGCATGCTTTAGTTCCAAATACCACTTTTACGGCTGAGTTGTATGAAAAATGTATACTTTGGAGAATCACAATTATATATTACATAAGTGAGTGCGTATGTGTGGCGTGACTAAGCAAAACAACCCTATGACTGATATCAGAAGTATTTATCTCAAATATTTGGAGGACATGACATTTATTAATCAGGTTGGCGAACCTGACCATCTAATTAGTAACCATTTCACATAAGCATGGGTTGCTGAAGACAGTTCTAACCAAGACCTTCATGGGGGAGACCAGCATGGGTTGCTGAAGACAGTTCTAACCCAGACCTTCACGGGGGAGACCAGCATGGGATGCTGAAGACAGTTCTAACCCAGACCTTCACTGGGGAGACCAGCATGGAATGCTGAAGACAGTTCTAACCCAGACCTTCACGGGGGAGACCAGCATGGAATGCTGAAGACAGTTCTAACCCAGACCTTCACGGGGGAGACCAGCATGGGATGCTGAAGACAGTTCTAACCCAGACCTTCACAGGGGAGACCAGCATAGGATGCTGAAGACAGTTCTAACCCAGACCTTCACGGGGGAGACCAGCATGGGATGCTGAAGACAGTTCTAACCCAGACCTTCACGGGGGAGACCAGCATAGGATGCTGAAGACAGTTCTAACTCAGACCTTCACGGGGGAGACCAGCATGGAATGCTGAAGACAGTTCTAACCCAGACCTTCACGGGGGAGACCAGCATGGAATGCTGAAGACAGTTCTAACCCAGACCTTCACGGGGGAGACCAGCATGGGATGCTGAAGACAGTTCTAACCCAGACCTTCACGGGGGAGACCAGCATGGAATGCTGAAGACAGTTCTAACCAAGACCTTCTAGGCTAAATCTGTTGAATGGAATTCAGCATATCCAGTAAAGTGCTTCCTTTACAGGTGAGTACTCAAATTATATCAGTCCGGTTTAATCGTACACTGCCACCATATAGACAATCATTGTGAAAACAAGTTTATCAAATAACTCACTCCGGATCTTCTGTGCTGAAGTCAGTGGTATCTCCTCTTCCTCTTTGTTGGTCGGAGTTGTACCGACATTCTGAGTTCCGCCAATGTTCAGATTCTTGCCTCCCTTCACTGTCACATCTCCAAACTGCTGCTGTACTTGTAGAAGGTTGTACTGTGTGACTGTAACAGAAACCACAAGACTGAAGCTGTCATAGATGTGTTACATGTTTGAACTTAGATTCTGCTAGTGATTTTATAAACAGGTGATAACATCAGCAGACATATTTTGTCTTGTAAACGGCGATTGCCAAGTATAAATGGCTTAGATAAAACTGAAATGAGCTTCAAAAGATTTATGCTGAGGTCAAACACACTTCTATGGTCACATCTCTAAAATGTTGCTCCACTTTAACAAAGCTGCATAGTGTTGCTATACTTGTGGATGCTGGTGTCAGGGCTGTTGTCCCCGGGACCTGTAGACTTGTTGTTTCAGGACCTACAGTAGTTGTACTTGTGGATGCTGATGTCAGGGCTGATGTTCCCAGAACCTGTAGACTTGTTGTTCCAGGAACTACACTAGTTGTACTTGTGGATGCTGGTGTCAGGGCTGCGGTTTCTGGGTCCTGTAGACTTGTTGTTCCAGGACCTACACTAGTTGTACTTGTGGATGCTGGTGTCAGGGCTGATGTTCCCGGGACGTGTAGACTTCTTGTTCCAGGACCTAAACAAGCGGTACTTGTGGATGCTGGTGTCAGGGCTGCTGTTTCCGGGTCCTGTAGACTTGTTGTTCTAGGACCTACACAAGCGGTACTTGTGGATGCTGGTGTCAGGGCTGCTGTTTCCGGGTCCTGTAGACTTGTTGTTCCAGGAACTACACTAGTTGTACTTGTGGATGCTGGTGTCAGGGCTGCGGTTTCTGGGTCCTGTAGACTTGTTGTTCCAGGAACTACACAAGCGGTACTTGTGGATGCTGGTGTCAGGGCTGCTGTTTCCGGGTCCTGTAGACTTGTTGTTCCAGGACCTACACAAGCGGTACTTGTGGATGCTGGTGTCAGGGCTGCTGTTTCCGGGTCCTGTAGACTTGTTGTTCCAGGACCTACACTAGTTGTACTTGAGGACAGGTGTGCCTGATCTGTTCTTTCATCACCATCAACAGCTGGTTGCAGCTGCTGTTGTTGCTGTGGTGCTGATGCTATTTCTCCCTGTGGTGGCTGACAACATCTCACAATGTGTTGTACTAGTGACTTGGTATCTACGATGGAAACAAACAGGTCAGAGTCAAATAACATAACACGAACTATGTCATATGAATACTAACATAGTTAAAATGGCATAATACACACACAATATATACTCTTAAATAGAAAGTGGACCTGCTGTTGATGTAGTTTAATCACTGAGTGCCTATAACTGATTCTGAAATGACATCAATGCATCCACAGAAAAAACAGAGATGCCAAATGCTGTCTTGAGGAATGTGTTGATACTCTTACTGAAGTGAAAGTTTGTCTATAAACACAGCAGAGGAATCAGGACTGCAACTTTCAGTCAGACAATCTGGTTTCACCACCATTCACCACAGTACAGTCTGTCCATGACTATACAGTTACCACAGGGCTTTCAAAACCTACGTGGTCAGCAAACTAGAGCCACAGGTCTCTATAGCTCGCAGGAAGTGCAATGAATATCATAATGACATGCACGGTGTGTTTATTACACGCTAGTGCAGACAGTTCCACAGTACAATTTGAGCATAATATCTTTCCCAAAGTTACTATTAGATAGCAAGACACCTACAATACCTTAGGACAAAGTGACAATGGCTTACAGAGGGTATAGGAACAATGGTTCGCAATACACAGCAGTTGAATTTTGACACAAAATACCACTAACACAATACAAATATCTTTATCCCATGCATATTCATGGATGTTTATACAACCTAACAGTTAATAGGTCTAAAAACTCAAATGTTGAACCTCTCTCGGCAAATTGCAGTTGAAAATGTTACGTCTCACAAAGTTCTTACAATGGTATAGAAAAATGAAATTTTTAGAGTAAAATTAATATTTTTATACTTATCCTGACTCATGTTTATTTGCTTGTCTTCTTCTTCTGGCAAACTAGTGGAACACTTGTATCTCCCAATTGAAGCTCCCTTCAATAAAAAATCACTCATTAGTACTCACCCCGAGTTATCTAACTTTCCGTAAGCGCGGGAAGGAGGGTGCCAACCAAGCCCATGTGCCTCACTCTCTCCTTCTTTGTTTTGAGCCCAACACTTTATTTTTCCCGAGAAATCCAAAGTGTTAAGTGGGGAGGACGGGAGGGCTTACCTCATGAGTCAGGATAAGTATAAAAATATTAATTTTACTCTAAAAATTTCATATTTTTTCTTATCCTGACTTATGTTTATTTGCTTGTAGAATCCTACGGAATAGGAGGTGGGATTATATATACTTTGGATTTTACTAATTAGTGATTTGAACTGAGATGATTGTAATAACCCTAAGGGAACTTCATGAAAGCACTGAACTGAATTCCTGCTGTTAATTTAACAGCTGCCTTTAAATAGGTTATTACAATTTACTGAACATAATAAAAGTATATAGAACATTAATAAAGCTAAAGCTATTAATGTGGTAGTATAAACTGTTGATAGTTTATAATGAATACTTTTATAAGAACCAAAGTAGTAAGCTTACAATATGCATATATATAAGCTATAACATAACTGTGCCTAAGGTATAATGATAACTTAAGCTGTATAATAGTAACCAACTACTGAGAGTTTGTTAACTAATACATGTTATGAAATGAACATATGATAGAGCTTAAGGAACAACTTAAGCTGAACATATATATAATAGTTGAACTCGTAAGAGTTGTAGGTATATATATATTATGATATAGAATCATAGTACTGAGCTTAAGATAATATTTTAACTTAAGCAAATATATACATAGATAGCATATAGCTATTAGTACTGTTATTACATAAGTATAAAATCAGCAAGATAGACTTATCTTCTCCGTGGAACTGTCAACTGTTGAAGGAGGACCATGGGACCGAAATGGTGGATACCTGAGACGTCCTTGGTGGTGATATCTCTCAGATAATGGTTTGCAAACACCATCTCGGACCTCCAAAACATCCCTCCATAATGGTATTCAATGAACAGTTTCCATGTAAAGCCAAAGTTGAGGCTAGTGCTCTAATTTCGTGGGGATTAGCAGCACTTGGAGGGTTCAGTCCAGCTGCCTTGTAGGCTCTTAGTATGACAGTTCTGATCCAAATAGAAATGGTAGTGCGCGACACTTCTGTCTGTGAAGCGGTAGATATGGGGATAAACAATCTTTTGAATTTAACTCTACTTTGCTTGGATCTTTGGAGATATATTTTCAGTGCACGTACAGGGCAAAGTGATAAGTCCATCGTATCCTGCAGCCCAAGTATGGATGAGAGAGTTGGGACATGGAACAACCTGTCTGGTTGACCTGGTAGTTGATTTTTCGCTATAAAATCCCAGCGAAGTCCCAGATGAGCGATGTTATGAATATCATCAAATCGTGTTCTCTCATAGTCCAAAGCGTGAATTTCCGACATTCTGGCGGCAGTGGCTAACGCTAGCAGGAATAAGGTTTTGTGGGTCAATGATTCATATGACGCAGATAACAACGGTTCGTAAGCCTCACTTGTGAGGTGTTGAAGTACCACATTTAGATCCCAGGCTGGCGCTTGAAACTTCCGTTTCTGATCTTCCAATCGGAAGGCACGTAGCAAGGCGAGTAACTCCGGTTTTTTGGTCAGTTTGACGCCCGTTCTCATAGTGATGACTGAGTTTATGGCTGCAAGATAAGTGGACAGTGTAGATCCTTTGAGATTCTTAGTTTGAAATAGGAAACATAAGAAATCTGCCACTTGAGGATGCGTAGCAAATCTGGCTGAAAATCCTTTCTTAGCCGCATAATTGACAAATCTGAGCCATTTATCATCGTATAAATTACGAGTGGAGTTACGTAGTGCAAGCGTGACCGCCTTCGCCGCTCTGTTGGAATAACCTCTCTTATTCAAACACACCTTGATACAATCCACATGTGAAGTCGGAATGCTTCTGGTGTTTTGTGCACTTGTTTGGTGTGCGGATGTATCAGTAGATTGGAGCGCAGTGGGAGCTGAAGTACTGGTTTTCCGATTCTTCGTATGAGGTCTGGAAACCACGTTCTCGCTGGCCAGTAAGGCTAGACCAAAATCAGATCGAGGCTCTTCGTTTGACTGATTTTTAACAAGACTTGTGGGATCAACGCAGGAGGAGAGAAAGCGTATGCGTTTAGTCCCTCCCACGATATGCTTAGTGCATCCGTTGCCCATGCTAGTGGATCTGACACTGGCGATACGAAGGTTGTCAGTTGACTGTTGAATCGGGTGGCAAATAGATCTATCAGAGGAGATCCTATTTCCATGATTATCTGATTGAATATCTCTGCGTGGAGCATCCATTCTGTCGGCGATGGTTGGTGTGGCCGAGAGAGAGCGTCTGCTAACACATTCTTTGCCCCTGGAATGTGGCAGGCTTTGATACGTATGTTTAGACTTTCGACTAGATCGAACAGTTTGAAACATCGAGTGAGTAGATTCAGTGATCTTGTTGACCCTTGTTTGTTCACATAGAACGCCACTGTGGAGTTGTCTGTATGAATCATTAACTGAGCGTTCTGTAATAGGTTGCTCCAGTGATCTATGGCGTTTATGACTGCTTGCATCTCTAGCAGATTTATGTGACATAAGCTCTCTTGAATGCTCCATAGGCCTGACGCTGTCCTGCCGGAAAGGTGGGCTCCCCAACCTTTTACTGACGCATCCACGTAAAGATGTGTTTCCGATTCCGGCTCTAGTAAGGAGACGCCTGCGCAGACATTCAATCTCTTGGTCCACCAGAGTAGATGTGGTTTGACGTAATCTGGTAGACTGAACGGTAGAGAGTCCTCGATATGGGCATTGATGAGGACTTGTAGTGGACGCAATTGGAGCCTGCCTCTGAGTGTCAAGTCTTGAGCCGATGTGAGTAGTCCCAGTAGACTCTGCCACTGTCGTAGTGGTAACGGAGAGAGTAGGGCTTGGGGGATCATTTGTTGTATCTTGATCAATTTGTCCTCCGGGACTATCATACGGTTCTGAGCTGTAAGGAAATGTATACCTAGAAACTGCAGATCCTGCGTGGGCTCTAGGTCCGACTTGAGTAGATTTACTAACCAGCCTAACTGCGTTAGTAGCTTGATAGTAAAGTTCAGCTGCAGTTTGAGACGCTGTGGATGTGGATCCACCTGTATGCCGTCATCTAGGTAAAATGCGCTCCGCAGGCCTTGACGATGTAGATATGAGACCATAGGCTTGGTTATTCTTGTGAATATCCATGGGGCCGAAGTGATTCCGAAGGGAAGTACTTTCCATTGGTAGTGTATGCCGTCTAGCATGAATCTCAGATATTTCCTTGAACTGGGATGAATCGGAATGTGTAGGTATGCGTCCTGCAGATCTATACTTACCATGTAATCTAGTGGACGAATTAGATGACGGAGTTGAGGTAAATGTATCATGCGAAACGCTGGTGGTTTGCATAGAAATTCTCTGTTGAAAGTGCTCATGTTGTAAATGAGACTATACTTCTCTTTGGAATTCTTTTTCGGTACTAGGAAGACTGGGGAGTAGAAACCTGGTATGATGTTTTGCTGATCGAGAACTTCTAAGGCCTGTTTGTTTAGTAGAGACTGTACTGTTTCTCTTAACATCGGTAGTAGTGCCAGATGAACGTTGAACCCTGGTGGGTTGACTGTTAACGGTGGCTTGGCCTTGAGTTGTAGACGATATCCGTACCGAAGGATGTTGGATACATACGGGTCTTGAAGTATTCCCCAGTTTTCCCAGTGAAGTTGTAGTCGTCCACCCACTTGAGACGGTTGTACTGGGACGACTGGGGGTGGAAGACTCCAGTCGTTCCGAACCTGACTTTCATCGTTTAAATCCACGGCCACCTCTGGATGATCTGCCTCTAGCTGATCCTCCTCTGAACTTGTTGTAGGGGCGACGAAAAGAATCCTTGGGATTATTAGCGGCCGCTAATTTCTTATCCCGTGCTCTCTGTAGCCCTGAGAATTTAGCCTTACCCGAGTACCTCTGTGCTGAATGTTTGAAGACGTTGGCTAACGTATCCATAGATGCTTATCATGAGTACTTCTCTAGAATCTTTAGATACTTCCTTGGAGACCTTGTTAATGTTGCCACCAAACAGTAAAGGTGAAGACCATGGAGCTGTATACAGGGGCTCTGTGAATTGATTATTCCAAGAGCATGAGGCTAGTAATCCTTGTCGACGTGCCATGGTAGTAGTTTCAGTAAGAGCTGAAAGATGGTCTGTAAGGAATTGTTGATCTTTCTTCTACATAAGTAGAGCTGAATAGATCATCCTGTCCTCCTCATCCGTAGAGTTCTTGAACTTCGTGATGAGAGTTTCGTTAATAGTCCTAGATCTATTAAGTCCGAAGAACATTCTTCTGGCAATGGTATCTAACTGGGCCATCTTGCGATCGTCAATCCTATAACTTCTGGACTTGGAATCACTGATAATCTTGAAGTTTTCATCAATCTCCTGAGTCTTGAAAAAAGGCTCCATATTATGTCCATAAAAATGCTTGGCATTGAAGATCGGTAAGTGAGGAAGATGGGATTTAGTAGATTTGGAGAAAGTTGTATCCAGTTTAGCAGGAACGGCTGCGATAGGATCCACAGGAGGTATGGTGATATGATCTACGTCATCATCTTTCATCAGGTAAGTTTGGGCTGTATCCTCGTTCTTGGAGGGAGAGGCCAGTTGTAATTCATTTACCATCCAATACCTTATCTCAGCCTCTGAGAAAATGATACCATCGTCTTCCTCTGACGTATGGTCGTATGTCGGAGACCTCGATCTGTAAGAAGATCTATGTGAGGACTGAGGAGAACGGACTGACGAGTGGCTAGTGTATGCAGATCTTGGAGAAGACATCCTTCACGGAGACTGTGGGCTATGAGAACGGTGATGGCTTCGCCAACGCTGTGGGCTTCTCGAACGTTGAGGGCTGCGCGAACGTCTTCTAGGCGTTGTAGAACCACTTAGCCTTCTCGTCTTGCGCGAATGTCTGGAGTCAGTGTCCGATCCGACATATGAGTGCTTGCTTTGCGAACGCCCTTCGTACATGACAAGGTGCGTGCTAGGCGAAGCACTCCTTCTCCGCGAAGCCTCTTGCAAAGGGTCAGACTCTAGCTCCTTCTCGGAGGCGGCCTGGGATACCTTATGCAAAGAGCTCACTCCGGGCAGGGTTGCCCTTCGCGGAGGCGCGTCTATGGGCTCAGGGGCCCTCACGCGAAGTCAAGGCGGGCTCTGGGGCCCTGTATGACTTAGTATGGGGTGGGCTCTGGGGCCCGTGGCTCTGAGGCCTCTGTAAGCCGTAGCGGTCTTCCATCATTCTCATAATGTGGTTGATCAAGTCATCTGGGACGTTCTGCGTTGATGAGGGATGTCTCTCTGCAGAGGTGACGGGACCCTCAGATAAATGTATTGGTGATAGCGTCGGCATCTCCGGTTGTGTGTTCGTCTGCGCTGAGGTGATAGTCGCAGAAACGGGCCGTTTCTTGTGACGAACTTCTGGAATGATAATAGGCATATCATCATCATATAATGCTAATTCTGTAACTGGTAAGATATCAGAGGCAAATTTATTAGATTTAGTTGACTTCCCTTTAGATGACGGTGTAGATCTTGGAGTACGCAGAGTACGAGATGATATGGCTGGTTTCCTCGACTTGGACTGAGACGACGGCAGCTCTTGAGATGCAGGTTGCTTCTTGGACATAGCGGACTGCGTCCCACGCTTATCCTCCGAGGGAAACTCAGGCATGCCACCAGCCGGTGACGAGTCCTCAGTCAACAGTTGACATGAAACATTAATTTGCGATCTATTAGCCATGTTTGAAATCTGTTTACGAGATTTATCTGCCTTCCGTCTGTAAACGGAACATAAATATTTGTCAAAGGCAGAGATAGGTAAATTGCTACACAATTTACAACGAGAATCAAAGGAACATGGAGTAATGCAACTAGGGCATTTTAAATGAGGATCGGTATCAGAGTAACGTAGTTTACATTCTGTGCAAATTTTCATTAATGTAGCCTACTGAACAATCACGGCAAAGCGTGAATAAACAGCAGAAACACAATTAATAATCAATGCAAATTGAATAAATATACTAGTACTACCTCTATACTAACGTATAAGAGGAACTAAACTAGATTTAAATAAAGGATATATGTGTTGGGAGACACAGGTGCTCTCACGTCCAGCTCACTGGGCAAAGAAGGAGAGAGTGAGGCACATGGGCTTGGGTGGCGCTCTCCTTCCCGCGTTTACGGAAAGGGAGATAACTCGGGGTGAGTACTAATGAGTGATTTTTTATTGAAGGGAGCTTCAATTGGGAGATACAAGTGTTCCACTAGGTTCGCCAGAAGAAGAAGACAAGCAAATAAACATGAGTCAGGATAAGAAAAAATATATACTAGGCACATAAAGAAACTGTGCATACAAAAATTTAAAATCTAAATTTATCAAACCTGCGACACAAAAGGATTTAAACTCAGAGATTAGTGACATGTATCCAACATGCATGCACGTGCCACGTTCCGTGACGTCAGTCGGTTCGTCCTTGAGACGTGCAATACGTTGTTGCACGTGCATTCCGGGAAAGAGAAACAGAGCAAATGAATGATACACAATACTGTCACTTTGGAAAGCTCAACCCCTGCCCTTGCGATCATTCAAAAAATTAAACGGCTATTGAAACGCAACGCATGCTAAGGCTCACTTCTGCACAACGTCGTGAGGCCATTGGGATGGTCCGTGGGGGAATGTCTCAACGACAAGTGGCTGCACATTTCCACTACCACCGGAACACTATTTCTGCACTGGTGAGACGCTACCAGAACACAAATGACGTCATCGATCGGCCACGTTCTGGACGTCCACATGTAACAACGCCAAGAAAGGACAGATGGATACGGGTGACCCATCTTCGCCACAGGTTTCAGACTGCAGTGATGACTGCCCGAACCATCCCAGGACGTCGCCGTTTGATAGGATCTATGCGCCGTCGATGCACTGCTGGTCTCATTGCCGATGGTGGACATACCCGTTATTGAGCCTCTGACATGGTCGTTTGACCCCTGTCCCGACTTGTTATGGTCTCATGATCCCTCCATTAAGTTGATATGTACCTTTGACATTGTTATCGTACGTATCAACTGGGATAATATTTTGACAATGCACAGTTCCTTTATGTGGCCAGTAAGGCTGTAACGATTCACCTTAACCCTAGCCTTTCATGAACTCAATTCGTTATTCGTGGTTACCAGAACCGAATATTCATGAATATTTACAATTATTTAAGGGAGTTTGTTTTACATGAACCCTAATGTCCTTTTTCAAAATGAGATATGCAAGAATGCAATATGTACTAGCCTTGTAGTAGCCCAAGTCATGTTAATTTGCCAAGGCTGCACATGTTACTGTCAACTATAACTAGTACATACAAAATTTGAGTGTCATGAGATGACTGGTTATTGATGAGACAAATTAGCACTGTCAGCATGGGCATTCCATATTGTACATCCATCACTTAACTACAATATTGTATTCATGAATAATTATTTGTATTCGTTACCTAATATTCGTGATATGTATCATATTCGCAACATAGTGTATTTGTTACACTGGCTAGTATATATACAATACCGTTGGGATAACTGTCAGTGACTTATAAAGTGTGTAAAGCAACATTGTTGCACAACACTCACCTCAGGTTCAACGGGATTCATGTGCTATCACTAGGACATACATACCTTTACCTACAAGCTGATATGACTGTTGATGAACAGTCTGGAATTTGACCGCTACAGCACCTGCTCCAAGTTGTGATATGTCTTGTATCCCATCCCCTTCTTCCTCGTCTGTGCCATCACTAAGTCCGTCACTCTCTTCATCAACATCCCTGTTTTCTGCATCCTCTGTGCCTGCTCCTTCAGTTGTTCCTTGTGGGTCGTCCGTGGCAACACCTGCAGGTTCCATGTGTTCCCCGTCTGGCCAAATCTCGCGTTCTTGCGATCTCGCATTCTCGCACTTTTGGCATTTTTAGCTTGTTTCCAAAGGTCGAGATCGTGAGAATGCGAGATCGCGAGACTGTCCCTTACAGTCTTCCATACCTACCTCTGGCTGATCTACCCGACATTATTGCTATTTTCGTTATCACAGTCACCCATGTAACTTACATCAACACTGGTCTAGTCTTTCTCGAGTACAACCCGACATTTAGTTGTGATATAACACTGTGAAGATAACAAACCTGTCTAAATCAGTCTTCACTTACTGGTTGCTCCGACCTTTAGGAATACGTTGACAAGCCCACAGTGTAGCGACCAGAACTGGGATAAACAGTCCACAATTTCGTAAAACCCGATTTGCTGCGGTACTGCTCCCGGCTAACGCTAAAACTGAAAGCCACTGATGTGCGGAATAAGATTTGCTTCCTGCTTTTTTAGAAGAAATACAAATTAACATTTACTATTTCCAGATTCATTTTCGAATATGTAACCCACATTTATTTCTCCACTATAATTTGGAAAAAATCTTACCTTTTCATAATTATTTTATACTTGTCAACCGTATTATTCATTTGCATATATGGGACGATTAATTGTGTTATTTTAAAATGGAAACCAAACGTCATCCTGTCTGAAAAGGATTATCTGAAATGAATTCTGTTTCTTCATCACTTTGTGGTCACAATAATAACACAGAATCGTATACATTATTTAAAATAGTTCAAACACTAATTTGTGTTTCTGAAATAATTCTGATTGTAATTAGGTATGAATATTTTTTTCCATATCCGGGTATTTGTCAACCAATTTGCTCTAAATGAAAACTTGCGTCGTTCAACCGAATGCGGCTCAGGGTTGAGACCAAACAAATTACATGAAATAAAGTTTAGAGAACAAAATACTAGGATGGATGAACATCACACAGAACGCCACACAGAATGAAAGACAGGAAAGGTGTTATATATAAGGCTAAAATCGTCACGCTTCTCGGTACAATGAGCGTAGCCTTCGCGGTACTTGCAATACAATGTTATGGCTGAATGAACACAGCGCGCCTCACTCGGAGGCTCTGACAAAGTACAGAGAAAATAGGATTAACGGGGACGCTCTTTTATTTGAACACATATAAAAATCTAAATAAAGTTATGTACACATTTTCACGTCTATTCTTCATTGCACATTTTCTTTAATCCGACATTAGATAGTTCATTTTGAGGAGTCTTTCCTAAAAGATAAATGTATACCTCACGAGTTTAAATCTTTAAATATGTTTCTGCTTATGTATGCTGAAGATCTTGTTATTTTCCTGAATCTGTTGAAAGGCTGCAAACACAGTTGAATTCGTTGTCAGCTTATTCCACACGGTGGGAACTTGAAGTAAATATTGCTAAAACAAAGATAATGGTCTTCAGAAGGGTTGGTAAAGTTAAATCGTCAGAACGTTCGTTATATAATGGTTGTGTCAAAGAGGTTGTCGATACGTTTACATTTAGGAATAGGTTTTAACAGAAATAACCGATTCTCAAAGGCACAGCTGCAGTTGTCTGACCAGGGTAGGATGGCCCCCTTTTCAATTTGCAATAATATCAGGTCGCTCTCTCTCAATCTGGAATTGTTTATTTGTCTTTGATCGTTATGTGGTAGTATACTATCTTATGCGTCTGAGATATGGGGATATAATAAAGGCTTAAATATTGAAAGGTTGCATTTGGATTTAGGTAAAAGGTTTTCAGCAGTTAAGAAATCAACATGTAATTCCATTGGATTATGCCGAGTTAGGTCGTTATCCGCTCGTATGTAAAGGGCAATATAGCATGATTAAATATTGGTGTACGCTTCTTGTGTCTGAAAATAGCATTGTACAAGGTTGTTGTGAGTGTTTGTATGAGGAGGTGGAGACGTGTGGTGTAAGAAAATTGGCAGGTTAAAGGTATTTTGTCAAACATTGGATTAACTGAATATGGTTAAGGCAGGAATTATTGAGTTTATCTTTAGTGCTCTGTGCAACTCATCGAAATGTGCAATTTATAAAATATTATTATACAGTACAGAGTACAGATAACGGTAATTAACAAAAAAAATTGAAAAGAAATCTATCTACTCCCGAGATGGATTATGCTTCCCGGCACCGTATCTTTAGCTTTGGCGGTACTCCCCAACATCGTGGAAATTAGCTCTCCCAGGAAATCCGAAATATACATTTTAGCCTTCCGGGACATCTGAAAAATAAATTTTAGCCTTCCCAGCACCACACCGTTAAATAGCCACCGGCCCACTAGCCCGTGGCTACCAAAAATCCAGTCGGGCCAGTAAATCTTCACAGTCACTACAAAAAAAGGTTGTAGTGAATTTTCAAGGGTCATAAATATACCTCTCTCCGACTTGTTAAGTTATAATACACTTTTAGATCATGCAAGATTATGGTCTAATAAAAATGTTCACGATATTAGCAGCTTAATGGTGAAACCCGTGTCATGCCGACAATATATTATTCCCGTCTATCTTTTGCTTAGTTTCTACATTCAAATTTCGGGATAGTTAATTATTTTGTAGACTATACATTTTCAGGCATAGCTAGCCCGACTGGCTAGCAAAGTGTGGGAACCACACTGGAAAATTATATAACCATTATACACCTCTCCCTCTCACTCCCTATATATATAATCCACACAGAGGCATGGAGGTTGTATATCAGATATATCACTCTCCCTCTCCTCCCTATATATAATCTACACAGAGCGGCATGGAGGTGTATATCAGATATATCCTCTCCCCTCTCCTCCTATATATATAATCCACACAGAGCGGCATGGAGGTGTATATCAGATATATCACTCCCCTCTCCTCCCTATATATATAATCCACACAGAGCGGCATGGAGGGTGTATATCAGATATATCACTCTCCCCTCTCCTCCCTATATATATAATCCACACAGAGCGGCATGGAGGGTGTATATCAGATATATCACTCTCCCCTCTCCTCCCTATATATATAATCCACACAGAGAGGCATGGAGGGTGTATATCAGATATATCACTTTCACCTCACAGAAAGAAATCGTGAGTTAAGTTTTACGCCACACTCGGCAATATTCCAGATACACAGAGACGGTCTGTAAATAATCAAGTCTGCACCTGACAATCCAGTGGTCAATGGCATGAGGATCGATATACACAATTGGGATACTATGACATGTGTCAACCAAGTCAGCGAACTTGACCACCCGGATCTTCACGGGTCCCAGAAAGAAGGCGGGAAGGATCTGTATCTGGAATATATATATCTATCATAGGTGTGATATGTTCCCAAACGATACCGCAATAAGTCTGTTGGAGGAACTAATAGTGTGGAACCCAGTTGATAGTATGTATAGACTTAGCCTAAACCTTTTATGATCCATTGCCACTGCAGTGTGTATAACAACGTTGCACACAGGTGAGGCTGTAGTCACTGATGGTGTGGGGCGACTAGACATGGCCATGCCAGGTGACATTGGAATGCTGTCATCAATCATCATCATCATCAACTAAGAACTTATATGGCGCAAGAATCCAGTCAGGTATAACTGCTCAAAGCGCTTTGAGAGGATGCATGTCACATGTATAAGCAAAGGTCCACTCGGTCTAGGCGTATGTCTTTGAGAATAGGTGAGTCTTGAGATTGGTTTTAAAGGTTGCCAAGTTATTTATAAGTCTCAGTTTTATTGGCAGATCATTCCAGAGTCGTGGAGCTGCTCTGGCGAATGATCGATCTCCATAGGTGGTGGTTCTTGCGTTATGGAACACACAGCATGCTTTATCCAATGGATCTAAGAGACCCTGCTGGCACTGTATTCCTGGAGGAGTTCCTGGAGATACACAGGGGCTAGGCCTGTCCTTGCTTTGAAGGTTAACAGGAGCGCACTTTATAGAGTGATTCTGTCTGCCACCTTCAACCAATGAAGTTTCTTTAGCACTGGAAAATGTGGCTGTCTTTCTGTGTCTTTGTCACGAGTCTAGCTGCACAATTCTGAACGCGCTGCAGCTTTGCAATCAATTGCTTTGGTAGTCCAATTAGAAGAGCATTGCAGTAATCTAAATGGGACACAACACAGCACTGAACAAGAGATGTTACGGTCTTAAGATTTACAAATCGACGTATTTGGGCAATGTTTCCGAATATTAAAATATGCATGTCTGCATGCTTTGTTTTACATGGGACTCTGCATTCATAGATGAGTCAAATACAAATCCCAGATTTCGTGCTTCTTTGCTTGGTTCAATGATGCAGCCTCCAATTTCAAAGATGGGCAGAGCAAGTTTACTTCTCGTTGACTTTGAAGGAGAATCAGCAGTTCCGTCTTCTCACTGTTGAGCTTGAGAAAGTTTAGGGTCATCCAGTCCTTGATGTCCTTGATACAGTTCATCAAACGACGATATGAATCCTCACTACTGATGTTCTGTTGGAGGGCTTGAAGGCCAGATACAGCTGGAGTGTCATCAGCGTAGAGATGGAACGAGAGATTATTAGCGCGAGCAATGTCCCCAAGAGGTGATGTATAGATTGTAGACAACACTGGTCCCAGTACAGAACCCTGTGGAACTCCATACTTGAGGCTAACTTTCTCTGACATTTGCCCATTGACTCTCACAGCCTGAAATCGTCCTGACAGATGGGACTCAGCCAGAAATAATAAGCTTCACCAGTAACACCGAATCTCTCATTCAATCTCTTGGGAAGAATGGACTGATCAATTGTGTCCAAAGCGGCTGACAAATCGAGGCAACACCAACACTTGCCGCACCATCTGGAATCAATTGCCTGCAGCAATTCACTCTGCACACACACAAGAGCGTTTCCGTGCTATGATGACATCGGTAATGCGGACTGCAATGTTTCTTCTTTCCCAGTTCGGATGATATGATCATTAAAGCCTTGACGCTACCACTCTCTCCATGATCTTAGCAGCAAAGGGCAAGTTGGAGACTGGTCTGT